ACAAAGGACAACCTGAACATAACTCAGATGATGACCCAAAGTTTCAGAACTTTTCTTACATTGCCTGTCCATCATGTCTGGACATCCCTCATATGAGAGTTGATTTGCAGCTGCGCCCAGGTCACTTTGTTGTACACAGAGATGACTTCTTGACAAGGGTTGACTACACTTTGACAGAGAGAGCTGGAGTGTACAGTAGATTGACCTAGTCCTTATCTTTATACCATGCCCCTGTCCTAGCCCTAGCCCTGGCAGGCCCTGCTCCTGCTGCTTGTATTTGTTAGCTCCAGTTGTAGGCTGTCTGAGATCTACACAATATCTGCTTCTTCTTCTGTTTCACATCTGTCTCCAGTGGATGGAGCGGATGCTTATAGGATATCCTGTATGCCACTGGGATCCAAATCAGGACAGAGTCTTCTTCATGAGGCTGTGTGGGAGAGATTTTCTGGGATCTTATCACTGTCTTCATTGTGGAGCTATGTCTCTCCCTCTGACTTTCTTAGGTAACATGGCTTCCTAGGCTTGACCCTGTGATCATTCAAGAGAAATTATTTACTCCCTCCCCAGCATTCTGCCTGAGCCCTGGTCCTTCTACATACCCTCCCCCTCCCGGGCCACCTCCTGAATTTCATATTTGGGGACTTCCCAGAATAACATTCACACTATTGCACAGTGGGGAGTGTTTGTGTGTTTCAGACTGAAGGTGAACAAGAATACAGCCATGAGCCCGGTAGTGGCACATGCCTTTAATTACAGCACTTGGGAGGCAGATGTAGGTGGATCTCTGTGAGTTCTAGGCCAGCCTGGTCTACAAGAGCTAGTTCCAGGACAGGCACCAAAGCTACAGAGAAATCCTGTCTAGAAAAAAAAAATACAGCCATACTGTCCGTGTTTGGAGCCTCATTCATTAGCTGACTGAGCATCAGAGTCTTTGGAGCTAGTGCCATGGGCACAAGTGTTCAGAGCCCACAGCAGTAATTAAGGTACCAATGCTTCAGACATTCCTTTGTCTTTTTTTTTTTTAAAGATTTCTTTATTGTGTATACAGCATTCTGCTTGCACACCAGCAGAGGGAACAAGATCTCATTATAGATGATTGTGAGACACCATATGGTTGCTAAGAATTGAATTCAGAACCTCTGAAAGAGCAGCTAGTGCTTTCAATCTCTGAGCCGTCTTTCTAGCCCATTCTTACATTTTTTACAAACTTCACAACTGCTATGACACAAAGACTTTACATATAACTCTAACTGAGCCTGTGATCATGCAAATGGCCAGGTTTCTACTCCTCTGTGCTGAGTGCTCTTTTGGTCTGCCCACAGCAGAGCACATTTTACCTAACTGCTCAGAGGAGCAAGACCAGCCATGTGTGAGAGAATCCTTCAGACAGGTAGGTTGAGAAGGCCTTGGGGGGTGGCTGAGTTCTTTCCCACGGCTCTGTAAATGCACTGGCAGACCAGGCCTGAGAGGGAAAATGTTGTATTACCAGTGATGAGAAGATTACTGGCTTGATGGGGCTGAGGTGACTTTCAGACACAGCCAACCTCAGTACCCTGGTTCTTCGTACCTGCTTAATAAATCCTTGGTGGTTCTGTGGGATTGGAACCCCTGATCACATGAAGTCTGCTGCATGTGACACCAGGAGGAAGAGGCAAAAGGAAAGACATTTTTCAGCAGAACACAGGATGATCACACTGCTTCTGCCTATCCCTGGGGAAGGATCCCATAAACGAAAGGTGCCTGCGGTACCTGCCTGGAGGAAGGGTTGTCCCTGTGTCTCTCAGGGTTTCCTGTGAATACTGATTTTTCTCTCTTGGTATTCCACATCTACCCATAATGCTTGCCATGTGATCTGTGAGTGTCAAGGACTGTCGTCAAGCTCTTAGTGAGCTCTCCTGATGAGGCCTGTGGTGTAGAAGATGTCAGGAGCTATCCCTGCTCCATCACAGAGAATAGACAGAACCTGACAGCCTGCCCCAGAGAGTTAATTCTATCAGTCTGGTGTCCTGTAGTCCCCGGTAAAGATTATTGAAAAGTGGTAGGAACAAAGACAGCCCACCCACTCGCACACTCAGAATCCCTGTGAAAGATTCAAACATTTTCCATTGCATATATTCACTGGTGAGGGGTTTTTGTTTTGTTTTGTTTTTGTTTCCAGTTTTGTTCTTTTGAGCAAGGATCTCTGATAGACCAGGTTTCCCACACCTTGAACTTTTGATCCTCCCGTCTCTTGAGTCTTGAAATGAGAGACATGAACCACTATGGGCAATTTATGTGGCATTGAGGATGGAAACTTGGGCTTCAGGCATCCTAGACAAGCGTTCTACCAACTGAGCTACAGCACCAGGCATTTTATTTCTTCATACCAGTCTACTCTGCATCTCCTTTAGTTCCCAAAGACTACCTTGAAATCCCATCCTTCTGTCTCCATCTACAGAGTGCTGAGGTCACAAGTGTACACTGTCAAACCTGATTCTGAGGCCTGTATCTTTGACCCCACAGTGGATCTGTCAATGGAAGAACTGTAACTATTATCCCCATAGTCAGGTGACTCACGCATGAGGTGGACACAGGGATCCAGGTAGCCCCAAGTTTCTGGGTGGTCTATAGCCTTTTGGTATAGATGAGTTATAGCCAGTTCTTCCTGAGATTGTGGTTTACAATTTATACAATGACATATTTATCTTAATATAGACATAGTTCAGATGCTGGAAATTTCACATAAACCCCGTCTGGTCTATAGTAAGTTATGAACTAATTTATGTTTTGGAATATTAGTTTAAGATGTATTACATGTGTTTATGCTACGTAATATTTGTTTAACAATGCAAAGATGTGTTGTATTCCTTTATGCTGCATTTGTTAAATTCTATAAAGTTGTGTTATCTTGCCTGACTAATACTCCTGATTGGTTTAATAAAGAGCTGAAGGGTCAATAGCTAGGCAGGAGAGAGAAATAGGTGGGACTACCGGGTAGAGAGAATAAAGAGGAGAAGTTATCTAAAAAGGGGAGGAGTGAAAAAAAGAAGGAGAGGAGAATGCCAGGTGCCGGTTACCTAGCTACCCAGCCAGCTACAGAGTTAGAAAGAAAGAAAGAAAGAAAGAAAGAAAGAAAGAAAGAAAGAAAGAAACGTAGAATAAGGAAAAGTTAAAAAGCACAGAGGCAAAATGTAGCTAATGAGAAATTTAAGTTAGAAAATCTGGCTAGAAAAAAGCCAATATAATGCTGAGCATTTATAATTAAGAATAAGTCTCTGTGTGTTTATTTTGAGTGCTAGATGATGGGTCTCCCAAATGTAAAAACAAACAAAGAAACAAACAAACAAAAACAAAAACCAAACAACAAAAATTACAAATTTATTCAGGCACAAAATTTCGGAAACATAGCAAATAACTCAAACAAAACACAGAAACAATATTAGTGAATACCCATTAAACAACAGGCATTAAATAACAGGCTTTGTGTATGTGAGAGAGAATAGAACAGATTGTGTGTTGACGATGTCAAAGTCACTTTACGTTTTCAAATAAAATGGTATGTGAAAGAAATGTCATTAATCAATTTTCTTCCACAAAAGAACCCAAAAGCTTTCTTGAAAATATTGATTTGCAGAATCAAATTTCATCATTAATTTATACTTTGAAAGTTTTAGTGCTCCAATTTTATATCTTCAGATTAGTAGCTGAAGTATACAAACATAATGCTGGGAAACCTATTAACTCAGGATGATACTAGAATAAGATACCTCCATTTCAAAATTGATGTTAAATTTCATTCAGTACCTCAAATTTATTTCTTTTTATTTTATGTGCATTGGTTTTGCCTGCATGTAGGTTTGTGTGAGGGTGTCAGGTCCCCTAGAATTAGAGCTAGAGACAGTTGTGAGCCATTATATGGGTGCTGAAAATTGAAACCGGATCCCCTGGAAGAGCAGTCAGTGCTCTTAACTGATGAACTCTCTCTTCAGAACCATCATTTAGTCCAATGGACACAGCAGGTTGTATGCATGTATTTCAGCATAGATCCACTCATACTTAGCAAGGAAGAATGTGGGAAGGAAGGGAATGAAGAGATAAAAGGGGAAAGTAATATAATATTTTAATTAACAATCTATGGAAATAAATTTTAAATAAAATGAGAGACTAGAGAGATGGCTCAGCAAATAACAACACTAGGTGTTGTTATAGAGGACCCAGGTTCCATTTCCATGACCCACATGCTAGCTAACCATTTGCTGTAACTCCAGTCTCAGGCATCTCCTGCCTTCTTCCGGCCTCTGTCAGTACTGTGCACAGAAAGATTCAGGCTTTCTTAATTTTTCTGACCTTTACCTCTTCTTTGGGCACATCTTCATTGGAAGGTTGGGATAGGCTCATGTTTGATGCTTCTTGCAGCTTCAGGTTTCGCTGCCGCAGTTTGATGTTCCGCTTCTCGATCTTCTTGCGCAGGAGTTTCATCTGTAAGTGGGACATGTTTGTCGGGCCGCGCTAACAGGCTGCACTGAGCAGTGGCTGCACATGAGTAGCCCAGAAACGAGCAGGCTAAACACTAAATAACTAAAAATATTTTTTAAAGGTTCAAAAGAGGAAAGATTGGAATTCTCTACAGTGATGCCACAGCCCTGAGACACAGAGCAGCCAGGGCTAGTTAAAATGAACTCCTTCTGGTCTTGCATGGAAGCAACTGTAGCCTTCCACTAAGCCAACTTCAGGAACCATCATGCTGTGTCTTTAAGAACAGTGTAACCCTATGGGAGATGGTCTTGTCACTCAGGGTTAAGTAGCCAATCAGACATCTGCCAATCAGAGTCGGGCAGGGTCCTTCCGGCAGCCAGCTTCAGGCTTGGTTTTGAAGAGAAGCTGGCACCAATGGTTTTGCGTGCTGTGCGGGGAGTTTTGCTGTGGGAAGCTGAGCAGAGAGCGTGGGCAAGCTGTAAAAGCACGACATGGTGAGCTTGCGGCTGCTATCCCCAGAGTAGGAGGAGCGGTCAGTTGAGCCGTTGGAAGCCAGTGTTGTGGGTCGTCCCTTGCTAGAGTGGGAGCCAGTGGCCAGACTCGGGTTTGGCATGCTCCTGCCTGGTCCAGCATTGTCCGGCTGGTCCTGCATTTTCCAGTGCGGTTCTGCATAGTCCTGCGTGGTCCTGTGTGGTTCTGTGTGATCTTTGCAATTCGCTGGGCCTGTCTGGCAGCCTCTGAGTAACTCTGCTGGTTACATCTGTGCAGAGAATTTGGGAGTGGGACTGTGCTTTGAACTAGCGTTGCTGACCGCACTGAGAAATGCCGGAGCTCTTAGTGCTTGTGTTGTCTTCCAGAAGGTCTTCACTTTGAACGCTTAGGTTTAGGATCCACCTGGAGTTAGTTCTGTGGAGCTTCTAAACAGTATCTCCTGTTAGAGTAGCACCCCGCTGCTGAACTACGATGTGGAATAGTAGAACTGATGGCACGAGGACTTACCAGTTCTTAGGAGACATTAAGTCACAACGTCGAATTAAGGTAAGGGAGGGCTGCATCCCAAATACCCCAAAGATAAGTAGTTGCTAACCACACCTGTTAGAGATAAGTATAAGATGTAAATGTTTGTTATCCAAGAATTAACCAGCTACATTCTCATAACAAAGGAGACCAGCCTGATTTACAACCAGCAGAAAGGCCCATCCCTCCACTGGGAAAAAAAAAAAAAAAAAACAACAACAACAAAAACCAGCCTCTAAAAGCTGCTCAAGGGACCACTAACATAAAGATCTTGTGTGATGTAAAGGTACAGTAATTCTAGAAAAGCAGCATCTCCAGTCTTTTAGAAAACGCACTTTTGAGTCAGGATCTTCTTTGTTGCTTGAGGTGGACTTGGACCCTGTCTGTACCCCTCAGGGCATTGTCCTTGTTATGCTCCTGACTAACATTATGTAAAGCTGGCAATACACACCTGCAGCACAAGAGTACTAAGATTACCAGTTTGAGTCACAGAGTGCACTGCTTGTTGCAGAACAGGGAAAGGGTTTGTGTGTGGAGCAAAGTTTCTCCCTTCAGACCAGAAGAGGAGGAACAGTGTACTGTCCACACTGTAGGGGAAACAGACTAGACAGCAGCAAGATCACTGACTGAAGTTGAAGGCTGTGAGCTGCAGGGGTCTCCATTACAATGAGGGACTGCTGGGGCATGGTGAGTGACTTTCTCTGTAATTTTTCTGATGTATTAATTCTTTCCATGTGACTGAAGACAGAATTGGTGGGTGTACATTTTTGGGAGGTTGGCTTGAACTACTAGGTATTCAGTTTCTAATTAGCAAATCTCCAATTCAGATGTGTGCAATTCTGGTTGACCCAGCTAAGTCAGCTGAGAGTTTTGAGACACAGGCCTTTTGCTGTAACTCCATGTGCTAGCTTACAGCACTCAGTGGCTAACATGTACATGGGACAGAGTCATACACACTCTTTTATGAATGGCATTCCCTCTACCAGGGTAGTGTCTACTCCATTTCAAAGTCAGTAGAGCTAAGTTTTCTTCCAATTATTTTTTATCATTTTAAAACATCAATTCTTGGTATCATTTTAAAAAATGCATTACGTCTATCTTTCTATTTTTTAATATTTTACTATTTTAAGAATTTCATTCCATTTTCTTAAATGCTTTTTATTTATTTATGTATTTATTTATATTAATTTAGGGCAGTGGTTCCTAACCTTGGCGGTCACATCTCTGAGCTTTGGGGGATCAAGTGACCCTATCACAGGAGTGGCCTAAGACCACTGGAAAACACAGATATTTATATTGTAATTCATAACAGTAGCAAAAGTATAGTTATGAAGTAGCAGTGAAAATAATTTTGTTGTTGGGGTCACAATATCATGAGGAACTGTCTGAATGGGTCACAGTATTAGGATGATTGAGAACCACTGGTTCAGATCAATGTTTCCTGTAGCTCAGGCTCACCTCACACTATACAATTGGGAATCACTTTGAATACCTAATGCTGCCTCTGTTGCCCAGTGCTGGGCAGACAGTCCTACAATTCCTTCTAAGCTGTCCTTGACTGCTCTTTGGGAGGAAAATAGACCAGTGAATGAGTATCCTCCAACTTCTCTAGATTTTAATGTGAATTTGCAAATGAAGTGGGACCTGTGTATGAATTGAGTTCACTGACCAACTGTAAAGTAGGTGTAGTTACAGTGGAGAAGGGTATTGTAAGTACACCAATTCAACATAAATAGAGAAGAAAGAAATTCTCTACAGTGATGTCACAGGCCTGAGACAGGCCAGGGATAGTTGAAATAAACTCCTTTTTGTCTTGCATGGAAGGAGCTTTGGCCTTCTTCTCCTCCTCTTCCTGTTCTTCAGTTTAATTTATTTGATTTTTCTTTTTTCAAAAAGAAAACAAACTATCTTTTTTGCAGTTCCCTCTCCCTCCCCTTCTCCCATCCCCTTCACCTATCTCTCCACCCTACCCTCCAAGGTTAATCCTAAGAAAAAAACAGGCGCAGATTCACCTGGAAAGGAAAAAAAGACAAAATCGCCTGGCAAAACTGAGAACGTGAAAGTCGGGGGAGAAGAAAGGATGGAAGGGAAAGAGGAGGGGAGAAAGGGAGATGAGAAAAGAACTTGAGGTAATAGAATAGTTGAGGTGAAGGAAGGACAGAGATGAGAGCAAGGAAAGAGCTTTGGTACTGAAAGACTATGTTTTGACCATTTCCCTAAAAAAAGGACAAATGTAGTTTATAAGTTACAATTGCTTGTTTAATTTCCTTTAGATACATGTGGGCTCCCATGAATATTCTTTGGCAACCTTATGGTTCTTGGGGTCAAATACTTTTTCTGATGTTATTACTGGAAAGGCAGGCAGAACTCTGGGAAGCTATCCTAGAGAATTGTAGGTACCGATGAGGTTAAATTTTGCCTTTTTACCTTTTGTTTCTGGTCATCAAATTCGATAATTTCCTTAATCTTTTCAAATCTGTTTACCACTGCCTTCTGTAATGTCTGGATCTCCTGTCCAGTGCTCTGCTCTAATGCCTTCATTGAGGATTCAAAGTTAAGAAGTCTGTCCAGTAGAGATAATGTCTCATCCTTAGACATAATCTTTATAGCATGCATATTGCCTTCCTGGAGAGACATTCTATTAGTCAATCTGTCATGCCCCTTTGACAGAGTCTGATTAATACATTCAACAATGCGAATTCTCTCAAATAATGTTTCAGAAACTACTGTCATTGATTAGGTTTATGTTTTATGAGCCATATCAGCTGTATCCTTCTCCAGAGTGGTGAATCTTCCTTTAAATAAATTAATATTAGTCTGTACCATTTCTAAAATTACTTCAGTTGACTGAGTTTTGTTAGTTAAATTGGCCAGATCATTCTTCAGATTTCCAACCTTTTTTTTTTGAGAAGCCTTGTATCAGTCTGTAAAGACTGTACCATTGCTAAAAACGCCTCATTCTTAGCCCTATTGTCAAACCATGTTTTTAAGAAAAAAATATGGAGGACAAAACTAATCCCTAGAATCAAAAATAGTGATGTAGAAGGGAAATCATATAACTCTTGTAAAACCTTGCCCATGGTATAAGTAAAGGGGCTATTGAAACCTTGGATGGTTAGGTTGTCTGACATATTGACCTTTTAAATGAATAACCTATGATTTATACTTTGGATATTAAATCTTACCTGTGGTTTAATTAGCTGGATTAGGTACAATAACCATTACCTGCCAGTAGGTGTTGCAAGCCCCCTATGAAACAAACCCAGCTGGATCCAGCAGCACACCTGGAATCATGTGACTAGTCTCAATCTGATTTTAGTGTGAAATGCTGAAAGATATGCTTTGATCAATAATTAGTTATTTAATAAAAATCACAGACTATGTGCACCATGATTGGCCCTGATGGGTTAGCAGCTGCAACAGGATAGGGATAACAAGATAACAGCAGGCACCCAGCAAACTTGTATCCCATCTGAATTTCCATGCGGTGTGCGGTGGTAGTAAACAGACACTGGAGCAAGAGCATGTGGACTGGAAGCTACTCTGAGGCAAGTAATGATATACTATAAAGAACTATGGCCGATCTATTAAGAAAAGCCACCACTTCGGGAAAATTCTATATCCAAATAAATTGCTGACTCCATGCACATGCCATGGCCAGTTGAGGAAGGTCTCACACCTAGCTGAGTGCACTCCATGCTTTCGGCGTCAGCAGAGCTGGGGGTGCTCTAAAACCAAATGGTCTGGTGTCAGATGAAGGCGTAAGTCACAGAACAATCCCACACCAGTTCAGAATTATGAATAGTAAAAGGGTTATTTATTTAAGGGGAAAACAGCCCTTTGTACAAGCAGGAATAGAGTCTAGCAGCCTGAAGTGGGAGCTGGAAGCAAGAGAGCAGGTGTACGTTTAAGACCATACCAAGTGGTCTGGTATCTTAAAGGCTATTGGCCGAAGGAGCAGAATGTGCTCCCACAGCACATATTTACTGTGTTGTGGTGGAAAATAATCAGCTATCTTCCTTCTCATATTGTTATGTCTTCCCCACCATTGTAGACTCTATCTCTATGTCACATAAAATATAGTACAAACAGTTGTTATTTAGTGCTAAGGCAATTGGTAGCCTGCTGTTTTAATTTTTTGTTTGTGTTTTCAAGGCAAGGTTTGTCTGTGTAGCCCTGACTGTCCCGAACATAGCTTTGTATACCAGGCTGACCTAATACTCAGAGGTCTCTCTGAATTTGACTCCAAAGTCCTGAGAGTAAAGGTGGACCAACATTTCTGGCTTCATTTGTTTTGATATTATTGGGTGAGGGCCCTGGAATCTAGGTTTTTCACTGCTCTGCTAAGCTTCACGAACATCTTGGATCTTAAAATTGAGCAGAGAGTATCATTCTGATTCTCAGGATGGCATGTATTTATGACATTAATACTGCTTGAATATTCTGAGTCATTGGATTACAGGTATATGAACTCCTTGCTTGTTGTGTTTGTTTGATTTTTTTTCAATCAATATGACTATTTTAACTGCCTGTATGGATATGCACCACGTGGGTACCTGGTCCTCACAGTGATCTCAGAAATCCTGAACTTGGAATAATGGATAGTTGTGATCCCCATGTAAGTACTGGCAATTGTGCCCACCTATATGCAAGACCAGCAAGAACTCGTCAGTACTGAGCTATCTCCCCAGCCCTGTGTTTAATATTTATGTCAAACACTTATATTGCTAGTGTTTTCATCTGTCCATTTGTAACTGCATAAACATGAAGTGCCTTTTTGTCAAATTTTATTGCTGTTACAGTTTAAATTAGGGCAATTCAGGTTTCCGGAAGGTGAATACAGAACTGGAGTGAATGCGTACCTCTTTGTAGGATCTTCAGTTAAAAAACCTCTGAGTTCTTTCTCTTTTTTATTTGTTTGACTGATTTTTGCACTGAAAACAGGGTCTTAATATGTACTCTGCAAGCCCTGGACTTGATTGCATAGACTTGGCTGGGATTCAACTCAGAGGCAGATATACCTGCCTCTGCCTTCTTAGTGCTGTGGTTAAAGGCATGAGTCAGTACACCGAGTTTGTAAATCTTATTTTTCTCTTTTGTAGTTTTTTAGTAATTCTTGTTCATAGAAATTTTCTCATGTGGACTCTATGCTGTTGATCTGGTTACTTGTCTCTCTCTGTTTGTTAATAGATATTGCTCTTTCAAGAATGGGTGTTATCCCATTCAAAGGATACAGAAATGACAGAGTTGAACCTCTTATTCCGTTTCCTTGTAAAGTGACTTGATGATTCACTGTAATACTTATGTCATGGAATGAGAGTGGGGAACACTAGAATTATATGACTGTACTGCAAAGAAGTAAACATCTACAGTATTGTCAGTATCACACTTTCTGATGTACACATGTATGGGATATTTTAGAATGCAGTGACCTATGATGATGTACATATCAACTTCTCTTGGGAAGAGTGGAATTTGCTGGATCCTTCCCATAAGAATCTCTACAAAGATGTGATGCTGGAGACCTATAAGAACCTCACTACTATAGGTAAAAAGTGAATTTTCCTTCATGTTTCCAAATAAAGGGACAACTGTTCTTTGGTTATTGATGCTCTTTTGTTGAGTGAGAAAGAAGAAGAATGAGATGAATAAGTTAGCCATGGTTCTAAGGTTCAATAGAGATAGTAACTTAAATTTTGCAGAATGTTCAATAATATATGCATTTTCTGATACTGTATTTTAGGATGCAATTGGGAAGACCATAATATTGAAGAACATTGTCAAAGTTCTAGAAGATATAACAGGTAATTTTCATGTGCAAGTTGCTACAAATGTGCCTCTGATGATTTTTGTAATGTGTCCTGGAAGTTTTAAACAAAGGCAGTAGCATAAATAAGCACAGTTGAAAGTGCATTGATGATTATTACATTCTCCTGGAACAGTACTTCTCAATTTCAGGTAGGTAAGTTACATTTCAAAGGCATTCTTTTAAGAAAGAGGACAAGGAAACACCAGCTTAACAAATACTACCTTGTGAATCATAGTACCATGAGAATTATACTGTAGACCTGCCAATCCATTTATTTCATGCTACTCATATTATCCAGGAGGTGATAAGTATTACTCCTTATCCTTCTAATAAGCCAATAGTCCATAGTCAAGCTTGTATTACTCATATACTTGTTTCTGTGCTAAGTTTAGTGAGAGGGGCAGTTCAAATCAAGTGTCAAAGGACAATTGTTGTAGGTAAACTTCAATTCCTATACCAAAAGTCTAAGATGAATAGAAAGTCAATCTGTGAGAATTCAATGGGGAAATCTTTTATTTGTTGTTCTTCTTTTACTTTGTATACCATAGGTTACTCTTGTTAGAAGCATATGAGCATAGGGATATGAAAAAATGCAACGTGCCTCTCTCTCAGAACAATTATAAGATATGTAGTCCCCATGTTGAGTATACTTGCCGAATTTGATTCAAGTATTCAAGTAATTGGTTTTCCACCATCACTGTTAATACACCAACAAACTTACACTGCAGAAAAACCCTATGAGTTCTAGGACTGTGTAAATACTCTAGTAGTTCTAGTTCATTTAGCAAATGTAATATCAGTCTCAGTATAGGAAAATTTATGAATGCAGTGAAGGTGGTAAAGTTCTAACTTTATCTAGTTCTCTTTAGATATGTGGAAAACATAGTAGAATAAAAGTTTCTGTAAAGTGAACCATGAAATAAAGGAATTTACCATCACAGATGTCTTCAAAGATACAAAATGACACTTAGCTAAAGGACACAACATGAGTCTAAACACAGCAATAAAACCTTAATATCTGATCCCTTACTTTATAATTGAGAAAATAGTAAACTTCACATAGATATGAAGATTCAGCAGTGTATTAAGTGTGGTAAAACTTTTATATGTGCTAATTATTGTTGCAGGCATGAAAGAAATGAAATTGGAGAGAAACTTTCTGTATATACTGAATGTATTAAAGCCTTTGCAAATGGCAGTCACCTTCAAAGAAATGCAAGAACATGTACTGGAGAGAAACCTTATGAATGTAATCAATGTGGTAAAGCCTTTGCACGTTACAGTCTTGTTCAAAGGCATAAAAGAACACATACTGGAGAGAAACCCTATGACTGTAATCAGTGTGGTAAAGCCTTTGCTCATTGCAGCACTCTTCAAATCCACAAAAGAACACACACTGGAGAGAAACCCTATGAATGCAAGCAATGTGGTAAAGCCTTTACTCAACACAGCACTCTTCAATTGCATAAAAGAACCCATACTGGTGAGAAACCCTATGAATGTAATCAGTGTGGTAAAGCCTTTGCATGTCAAAGTAGTCTTCAACGGCATAAAAGAACACATACTGGAGAGAAACCCTATGACTGTGAGCAATGTGGTAAAACATTTACATGCCAAAGTAGTCTTCAAATGCACAAAAGAACCCATACCGGAGAGAAACCTTATGAATGTAATCAGTGTGGTAAAGCCTTTGCATGTCAAAGTAGTCTTCGAAGGCATAAAAGAACACATACTGGAGAGAAACCCTATGAATGTAATCAGTGTGGTAAGGGCTTTGTATGCCATAGTCATCTTCAAAGGCATAAAAGAACACATACTGGAGAGAAACCTTATGAATGTAATCAGTGTCGTAAAGCCTTTGCTCAGCCCAGTACTCTTCAAATGCATAAAAGAACACACACTGGAGAGAAACCCTATAAATGTCATCAGTGTGGTAAAGCCTTTGCTTATCACACTACTCTTCAAAGGCATAAAAGAACGCATACTGGAGAGAAACTGTATGAATGTAATCAATGTGGTAAATCTGTTTCGTGTCTTTTTCATCTTCAAATGCATAAAAGAATACACTGGAGAGAAACCCGAGAATGGAATTAGTGTGGTAAAGCCTTTGGATGTCACAATTATCTCTGAATGCATAGGAGAACCCATACTGGAGAGAAACCCTATGAATTTAATCAGTGTCGTCTTCAAAAACATCAGAAAAGTCATGCTGCAGTGAGACTATAAATATTGTTAATGTGGTAATGTTTTGTACTTTATACAGGAGTAAAACTTTTTGTGTATAATCAACCTAATAAAACTTTTGCAAGCCGGGTGATGGTAGCGCACGCCTTTAATCCCAGCACTTGGGAGGCAGAGGCAGGCGGATTTCTGTGAGGTCGAGACCAGCCTGGTCTACAGAGCTAGTTCCAGGACAGGCTCCAAAGCCACAGAGAAACCCTGTCTCGAAAAACAAAACAAAACAAAAAAAACTTTTGCATATTGCAATAATCTTTGAGTACCTGAAAAAGAAGGTAAAGTCTTCTTCTTATAAATTATTTGGTAAGATCTTTACAATCTTTACAACCAGATAACCAACATTATTTATTCTATAGAAAAAAATGACAGTGTCAACACAATCTGTTCAAGCATTATGATGTCTGTTTTCATATTAATTGCACCAGCTAAGTCACGAACAAAACTGAATTTATAAATTATATGAAGCCTTATGTGTATGTAGGATAAAGAGATCACTCTCAGAGAGCAACAGGACTGTTATATCCAGCAGGGAGATCATTCCCCACTGTAGCACAACTTCAGGTATAGTCTGACTTCCTGACAGGATTCTTTTCTACTCACAGGTATAGGTATCCAGGATACCTTTCCTTCATAGGTGTACGTGTAGCCTGATACGAGATAGTCCGTCTACCTTTCCTTCCAGAGCTGTAACACTTGCCCTATGAATTTAAATGATAATGTAACCCTTTTAGATTTTATGCTTCTCTTCAATTGTGTGACATAAGAAATTCAGGTGGCAACTTTATGGATGTGTACTTGTTCCTTTTCTGTTGTGATATAATGTCTGTGTGTACTTATAAAAGCATTTATTTTGGCCCTTGCTTGCAGAGGGATATAGGATCACCAGGAAAGTGGCATAGCAACAAGTGTCAGACATGGCAGCTAAAGCAGGAGCTTAAAAACTCACGTCCTTAAATTGCAGCATGAAGCAGAGAGTGGGAACTGCAAATGGTGTGTGGGTGTAAATTCTCAAAGCTTATCCCCAGTGGCATATTGTCTCTAGCAGAGGAGCATTTCCTAAATCTGGTGGTACCACCTACTTAGGAGGATTAATTTGTCCGACTTCAAGCCTAAGTGTTTGCTTTCTGTTTATGTGACCGAATTCATGGTGAAGAAAAACTCTGTAAGTAAGCGGTTAGATGTCTCAACTCCTGTGTTAACAGGAATGAATACTTACAAGAGAAAAATGTTAGTGAGTGAAAAAGTGTTTAAAGGGTTGTTTTAATTGTAGCTATGTGATGTCAGTTTGTGTTTGTGTGGGTATGTGAGTATGCATGCTATATATTGTGAGAACATTGGTTCCTTGGATCTTCTTGAAACAGGAATTACAGGAAGTTGTCAAAAATGTGACCTTGGTCCTGGGAATGAGCATTTCTTAAACCCCCAGCCATGTCTCTAGCATTGTAAATACTTTCTAGGTTATTTATATAATTTTGAGGTCTCTAAATAGGGACAAATTCATACAGAGAAAAACCCTATTTATATAAACAATTTGCTAGAGACTTTAGACATCATAGTTGTGTTCAGATTCAAGAACAAAATTATTTTTCATCATAGCCTTGAAGGAAGTAAATTATTTGCCATGTTCACTCAAGACTGATGTTGAAGAACACTGAATTATGGTTTCTATCTTGAAACATTTGAGGTAGATACTAAAGTGTGCTATGTGTGTGGCAAATCCATTTAGTGAAGTTTATTTTGTGGTCATTATTTCCTTCTGTGGTTTTTGTTTATCTTCTATTGTGCTTTTAACCAGCGATAGGTATTTTTTCAGCTATTATGTGTAGAACGGTATCCCCATCATCTAAGTGTTCATTGGTTATTTAAATATCAGACAGTGTGTGATCATACTTTTCAAGTAAGGGTGTCTGTGAAAGGGTGGTAGGTTGCTGTTCTTGGTTTTGTTTTTCATATTTTCACAGTTTTCCCTGAGATTTTTGTTGTTTGTTATTCATCCTGACTTGGATGTCAGTAATGATTCAGGGATACATTAGAACTCATGATGCTCATGTGTACCCCTCCTGAGTACAAGTGCAAGGGTGGATGATGCACTCCAAATGTGTGTTGTTTTGTCAACACATTTTAAAAATGTTAATGTTAAAATGCTTAATAGAAGAAACTATAAGAAACAGTAAATACTTCATGTGTGTATTTAAAGAAGCATTCTCATTTATCTGGTAGATATGTAATAAATAAGGACAATTGGCAAACAACTCTGTATTTACTACCATAGCTTGATTTTCTAAAGGGATTGAGGTCAGGTTTCTAGCCTTGTACACCACAGACCTTTCCCACTGAGCTGTCTCATTGGTGCTCAAATATGATTAGAAGAAACATTACAACAGTAAACTATTATCTTCCTTTCAGACTGTAAACATAATTTCATACAAAGAGAATAGGAACATGGGATAATTTGAATAATAAGTTCTCTTTTTATATAAAATACGTACACTATCATACATTCTTTTATTTGTTCATTCTGGGGACTAAACAATTATAATACTTTCTTAGGACCTCAAATATATGCCAGAGAATTGCCTCATTTTATAAAGTCCACTGACTTCAGACTATGAACAATATTGTGTTTCTTTATCTTTGACTCTACTATAATTCATCAAGGGACTAGGGTAGAGGACTTTCTTATTTTACAGATGGTGAAACCCAGGCACACAGAGATAAGTGATTTTTTAATATACTTAAGTGTAACTGCTCATTTTAGTCATCCCAACATTCTAATGACTCACTAGATGAAGTTGATGACAATTAAGGCATGGTACCACAAGCCTGTAACCATGATACTTAGGAAGTGGATGGAGGAATTTCAGAATTTCAAAGTCAATCAAGGTGAAAAGGATCAATGGGGTATATATGGTAGGAGGTCCATGGAACCTATGGGGACTGTGATTGACTCAGGACTGTGGTCATAGTCTTCCCTGCAGCAATTGAACTCAAGGACATGGCACCAGCAAGTGTTGGCTTAGTTATTTACCACTCAATGTTTCCTATTCTTGATAATATTTTCTGTTGAAGGCAGCCTAGGGTCAGACTCAAGTTGCTCAATAAAGAGTAAACTTCTCCTGCAAGTGTGTGTTATCCTCAGGCAGGCATGTGCTCCCTATTTATGTATCCAAAGCAGCATCTTTTGTTCTCAAACCATAACATACGACCAATAGAAACAGACCCAGGAGATTTTATTCATTTATGTGCACATACTTATTCACACATACTTAACAAGAAATGAATTGGAAGGGAAGAATTTGGAAAGGAATGGAGAGAGGACATGGAAAGTTGAAAGTCATATAATACATTTTAATTAAAATGTTTAAAAATAAATTTTTAAAAATAGCTTCACAATTGAGAGCAATGGGTGTTGTTGAAGAGGACACAGGTTAGGTTGCTAGAAACCATGGTTGCTCACCATCTCCTGTAACTCAGGTTCCAAGGGATCTGATTCCTTCTGACCTCTTTGGGTACTTCACACATGTGGGCAAACACACACACACACACATACACACACACATATAATAAAGCTTAAAGAATGAAATTCTATACAGTAATTTCGCAGTCATGAGACAGACAGCAGTCAGGGAAGGCTTATTTTGAGATTAGAATAACTCAGAACAACTGTTCATTTAAGAACATCTTTAACATTGAGGATAGGTGGCTTTCCCATATTTTTTTTGAATTGTGTTCTATTTTCTTTGTATATGTAGGACTGTGGCATTAATACAGCTTTTAAATGTGTTTTTTAGATCATACATTTTGATCTATTTATGTTTTAAACCATATATTATGATATATTTAGATCATAATGCATGATCAGAAAGATAGCTTTGCTCTGGGAATCTCCATCTGCCTAAGTGGCTAGACATGCCTTCTCCTGTCCCTATTTAAATTGTTCAAAATATAACCTTGAGCTTGAACCTAAAAGATACTTAAGGATGACATATATATAGCAAAATCTGTGCCAGGCAGGCTCCTCTTTTAACATTAACCACCACTAGATGCATGCTGTTATTAAAAAGATTTTTGCTTATTAAACTACTGAGTGTGTGGAATGATTTATCCCTCAGAAGACATATTAATTCTAGAACAGCAGTGCCTCCAGCCTTGTAGAAAAATGTTTCTGAGACAAATTTTCTTATGTTGGATCATGCAGCCTTGATCCCACTCCATTGCTCCCCAGGGCAATGACCTTGTTCTTGTGATTAAACCAACTATTTGCTTAGGTTAAGAAACTCAACCACCATTGAGTTGTAAAATCATAAATTTGAGTCATGTAGTCAGCGGTACATTTCAGCAGCAAGAAGATTTGTGTATGGAGCATGGTTTCTTCCTTCAGACCAGAATAGGAGGAATGTTTACTTGTATACACCATAGGGGAAACAGTGTAGATAAACAGCTGCAATAGTCTCCATTGTTTTGATTTTTAAATTTGATTTTCTTTAAGTGCATCGCTGCTCTAATCTCTTATTTCTTTCTATTCCCTTTTGTTTCTAGGTCCTTAGAATTTTCTTCTCCATTTTTCTCAAGTTCTGTTGATTTTTATTTCTATTTAGAGCAATGTCTCTTGTAGCTAAGGCTTATCTTACACTATGCAGTTGAGAGTTGCATTGAACACTAATTCCATCTTCTGCTGCCCAGTGCTGGAAAGAAAGTCCTGCAATTGCTTCAAGGCTGGGTCATAACTGGTCAGCGAGAAGGAATATAGAACAGTGAATGAGTGACCTCTGACTTCTCTGGATTTTATTGCAAATTTACAAATGAAGAGAGACCTTTGTAAGAATTGAGTTCACTGACCGACTTCAAAGACGTGTATGTAGTCCCAGCACAGAAAGGGATAGGCAAAAAGGAACATGAAAGCTTTCCTTCTTTGAAAGTGGCACACGTTAGAAATAAGTAGTGAGGTAATAATTTTTAGATGCTTGATTGAAGTGTGGTCCTAATTTGTCTTAATCCCAGAGTCAGATATTGGGATAAAGCTGGGAGACCAGAGAAGCAAAGGAGCAGCCACATTCACTTTTTACCTCTCCAAATTCTCAGACCAAATGGTGGCTGAGATTTTGTCTCCACCCACTTTATGTTCTTGACTCCACCCCCAGAGTGCTGGGGTTAAAGGTTTGAGCCACCTCATCCTGAGTGCTATGGTCAACTAGTGGTTAGCTCCACCCTCTAATCTCCAGGTAAGTGATTAGATTATTTGTCAGAACACAAACAAAATATCATACAATTGATAAATGTTCTGGCTGGTCATTTCTAGCATATGCAGACCAGTGATTCCAGAATGTAAATAAAAGAATTGAACTTATTATGAAACTAAATTACAGAAGATACACTAGTTTGACCAAAATCGAACTGAATAAAATGGTATTGCCCTGTCTAAAAGAACCATGTTTTTACATGTTTAAGATGTACATCCTGAGAGAAAGTGTGTGACTAAAACTTGGTTTGCTCTAATACAAATTTCTTGTTTCTGGAGCACATGGCCATAAAACCTATTTCAACTTAAAAAAAAAAAAAACAATTTTGGGAGAATAAAAATTGCATCATTTCCACATCTTTTTTCTACTTCTAAGCCCTTCCATGGATACTTCTTTTTTTTTTTTTTTTCCTAATTCATGGTCTCTTTTTTGCTTTAACAACAGTTGTTGTTTACATGTGACCTATGTTTGGCTGCAGGATTTATGAGCTATGAAGCAGAGGGATGTTTTCACTGGACATCAAGTTTGTAATGGAATATGCATCCAAGGAACACTCTACCTTGGAAGAGCAAAATGAAATACCCTGAAATACTAGAAGTGTTTCTACTAAAATACAAATTTACTTGATGAGATGCCTCTAGAGTGAAAATGGAGATTGTGCTTTTATTTCCTGGCAACCCAGTCACAAATAATTACACAAACCTACATTAATTACAGTACTGTTTGGTCAACAGCTCAGGCATATTTCTAGCTAGCTCTTATATTTTAAATTAACCCATTTCTGTTATTTTATATTTTACCACAGGGTTCATGGTTTGTTACCTCACATCTTGCTTCTTGGCTGGCTACATGGTATATAACTCTGTCTTCTTTTCTCCCTGTATTCAGTTTAGTTTTTCTGCCTAGCTATGTTCTGCCCTGCCATAGGCCAAAGCATCTTCTTTATTAACCACCACTAATAACATCTGTATAGCATGCTGAGAAGAATCCTACATCATTTCCCCTTTTCATTCTATATAAAATATTTTAACTTTAATATAGTAAAATTACATATAACAAAACAGGCACCAAGCAAGAATTACAGTTGCAATAGTTAGTCTTTTGTGTCTAGTAAAATTAAAGAAAATATTCTAACATCTATTTTATTTTTGTGAGTCTAAAGTTTCATATTTAATTTACATCATAACTAAAAAAGCCTATAACTGTCTGTCTTCAAATCCAGAAGGATCTGATATTATCTAAATAAACAGGAAGTTCAATGTAAGCAACTTCGAAAACGCTATTTGACAAAGACATCTTGCTGCCTGGAAAGTCACACAAAGTTCTTTTCTAATGTACCTATAGTATCTGGCAGACTATTCCATGAAGTAGAAGATTTGAAAGACTGTTTTGCCTATATTGATATTTGTAGTGATGAGGCAAGCAGGCCTGCTTTTCATCCTGCCTGGCTCCCACACGGCTAGCTATACACCCAAAATAACACACAAATTGTATTCATTTAAACACTGCCTGGCCCATTAGCTCTAGCCTCTTACTGGCTAACTCTCACATCTTGATTAATCCATTTCTACTAATGTGCGTAGCACCATGAGGTGGTGGCTTACTGGGAAGATTCTAACCTACGTCCATCTTGGGCCGGAGCTTCATGGCGACTGCCTGACTCTGCTTTCTTCCTCCCAGAATTCTGTTTTGTCTACTCTGCCTATCTAAGTTCTGCCCTATCAAAAAGCCAAGGCAGTTTTCTTTATTAACCAATGAAATTAACACATAGAAGACCCACCTACATCATTTCAGACACTCTCTTCTGTGCCCTGCAGAATGTCTGGCAGACTCTTTCATGAAGCACAAATTTGGAAGGACTTCTCACTTTTCACAAGTTCAGCAGTCATTTTTCTGTGGGTCCTGTGTGTCTAGTTTATATAGAATACTGCCAAGCAGTCAAGGCAAGAACAGTTTCATTCCCAAATGGCTAGCCTTGTCTCATTGAAAGTAAATTCTATAATAAGTTTCTTCAATGTCCATTACCCTCTGTGATTCGTGCTGCCAGAAGCAGACTTGACTCCCTGTTGATAAAAGTCTGTTTTTATAACCTTTTAATTGTCATATTCTGTAATTCTTTGAAGTATTGAAGATTATCTCTCTAACTGAAATATGTCTCTGTACATCTAGAAAACTTAACATGACTATAAGCTTGTCTGCTATAAATGACTATAAATCTAATTTTAAATTATATACCAAGTTTTTAAATGAACTATATAAATGTAATGACTTAAGCAAGAGTAGAAATATACATATACAAAATTAATCTTAAATTTGTATTGATAAACCAAAGTCCGTATTAATGTAAAGTATTCACTTCTATATCACATCCCCCCCCCCCCCCCCCC